CAGGAGACATTTGCAATCTTTACGCTTACAGGCTTGATAATTTGCTTGTTGCTAGTGTGTCCCACTTTACCCCATCCTTCTGATTGCTGGGAACTGTCTCATCTGCATCCCAAATGGACACGCTCTCACTCCCTGGCTGCAGCAGCACTTGTCCTTATGACAAAGTCTTTCTCCTTTTCAGGAGAGGTGTGAAGGCAGGAGGATGCACAGCCAAACATCTCACCCTGGCTGCCCAGGCAGGCCCTCACCATGGTCCCAGCCCACTTTTCTGTAAGCTGGGTCTGCCCAGAGACCCCTCTGCAGCTTCAGCTCCTGCACCCCACAGGAAATCAAATACTGGAAATGAGAATGGTATTTTTCCCACATGGGGAGGAGGTATGGAGATAGTAAAACCATGGTACACATACATCTGTCAAGCTCTGACCCTATTTCAGTAATGCAAGGCAGAAAAACCACACTATATTCTCCTACTCCAGTGAAATACCATTTCCAGTGCTAGCACAGAAACAAGCCAGCCCAAAAGGCAACTTCTCACAAAAAGATTAACCATCCTTAGGCTTTGGTTTCTTCCCCTGTTCAAACAACAATGCCCTTGCTACTGCAATAACACACAACCAGTTTCCAACTCAAAGCACTCCTTGCAAAGAGCACAGCACAGCTCTGAGCATCTCTCACTCCGCTCTTCTGGTTTTACTGTTACCACAAGATGCTATCTTCCCACAGTCTCTGAGAAAGGAGCCTTCTAGCTCTGTTGAACTTTAGAGAAGTCCTGTATTTTCCTCTATTCATACAACCAGGAAAAAAGATGGAGACAAGGTTTCTGGGGACAAGGGAATGTGAGGTCCTGTGGTTTGGTGGTGAGTGATCACTCCAAACATACAATGCCCTTACTCAGGCATGCCAAAACCCACAGAGCAGTATGTGATAGCCATAGAAATCAGAGTTCTCAGGCACCTTGGCACCAGGCTGCCAGGTCTGCTGGGGAGAGGCCTGGCATAGAGGCCTCCTGTGCTGCTGGTTGCTACTTCCCACCAGCTGGACCTTTGTTCACAGGGTCCTCATCTCCCCTGTCTGCACCAAAGGGCTGGGGGCTGTAACCCAGCTTGCAGTGAGATCCAAGGCAGCCAGCGTAAATGCACATCAGAGTGGAGGAAGCCCTGATCCAGGGACCCCCTCTTCTCACTGCCTCGGGAGACTCCCTGCTGCTGGAGGGCTCCAGCACTGTGCTTGAAGCCAGAGCTGAAGGCAGGGCTCGGGAAGAAGAGCAGATGGGCGAGGGAGAGAGAAGAAGCATAAAATTGATGGATGTCATTTTGTGTTCCCTTGAACACTGTAAACTAAAACATATCCTAACCTTTGTCCAGGGGACGACAGGGATAGGCAGGGTGGCATGCTTCTTACAGCCCTGAAATGGAAACAGGACCAGAGAAAAAGAGCAGGCCAGTTGTGCCAGCCCTGTGCAATGTATGGGAGATCTCCATGGTCCTTTGCACTAACACACCAGAGTCAAAGTCTTCATCCCCAAATGCCTCTTTCTACAAACCAGCAAATCCCATTGCCTGGACCAGGTGGGTAGAATAGCAGTTTCTTAATCAAGTAGGAGCTAAAGAGGCCTCAGATCTCACCACCTAACGTCTGCTGCTTTGTAAGAAGGTCTGTGTCTCAGACCTTTATGTGTGGTACAGATCTCCTGTAGCCACACGCCACAGAAATGCAACAAATCCACCTTGTAAGCAGGAAGCAAGGGCTGAGTAGAGCCCCTCTTCCCTGCTAAAGGAGGTTCTCTGACAGGCACCCCTCTAATTCAGGATAGGAGGCACCATGATGGAACTAAAGGACAGTTTCTGACTACAGTGAGATGAATTAACTTGACACCATCTGGCAGCAGTTTTTCATTTCTGACAATATTTAAAACTTAATTTGAGCTCAGACAGTGATAAATAGGTCTCAGTTCTCACCTGGCTTTGGTAACCTCTTGACCTAGGCATATCAAGTCATTTATCTGAGGCTGTAGATTCTGATATTTTACGGCTATGCCTAATCTAAATAGACTGCTGGACACTGTCGTTATTGCACTCTGGTAATCCTGGATTGATCCTGCTGAAGCAAGTGGGGAGCAATGACATCTATGTCTGTCTTCCATCAAACACATGATGAAAGTTGGTCATGTTTAAGCATGTTCTCCCAGCTGGAATCTGTAACAGATGATAGCCATGAAGCATTAGTGTTCCCAAACATCTAATGATGGGGTAGGGTGGGCATTTCATTATTAATGTTACAATTATTTCCTTTAAAATCTAACTTAGTTCTAATTTTCTCACTCTAAATACTGCTGACGATGGCTTTAGCATGTGTATATATGTCTATGCATGTATGTACATATATAGATTCTTGAGTGTCTATAAATAAATAATCCCTTTAGACAGAACAGCATGACAGCAAAAGCTTTCAGATGAAAACATGCTGTGAAAATGTAGCATGTCTCTCCTCTTTATTTTCTATGGCAAATGCAAAGAAAATTTATTGCTTCAAATATGTGTAATCATTTTTATCTGATTACCTGTAGATGCTCTATATGGCTCTGTGCATGAGACAGTATATTCTCTGTCTCCTGCAGACATCCCAGTTTATTACAAGCTTCCATTCTCTCACATATCTTTATGAATTTGAAGGAGCTGCTTAGAATTTGTCACTTATTTTTAACAATATAATTTTATTTGGAAGGAACATTCCTGCTAAGCTTGACATGTGATATTTAATCACATATTGACCACTCAGGATTACTTTAATGCTTCCTGTCAGCTCCAGTACAGCAGGCAGAGTTCAAGCAACACATTTGCCTGGAGTTCAGTATTCATTTAAATCAAATTTGTCAGCTTTCAATTTTTTTAAATGTAATATTTTATTTTTATTAAATGCAAGTTAATAATGCCTTGTCAGGCCAAGGGCATATTTTAATGTGAACTCAGATGTTAAGTGAAATTGGAGCCATAACACCCTGCTAATAGAGTCATATAATCATCTTAATGCCAGCATCTCAACCTAACACAAATATGTGCTGGCTTTGTGTTCAGATGCATAAAACACACCCGCACAAACACACACACTCACCCTTTTAAATGCACGTGCTCTTGTCTGTGGGTGCCTATGACACTTGTGTATGTTACTTAAAGATTTCCACGTGCTCTTTTTTCCTCTTCATAAGACATCTTACTTGACTGGTGACATAACAGCCTGGGTTATTAATGCTGTCCATTCTCAGCTTCATCTCTAATTTTCCATGATGCTATCTATAGTGACTTGGGTTTTTTTTCCTGACAATATTTATGCGAGTGTACGCATATGAGTACAGCTTTCCTACAGAGAGGTGCACAGTGAGCATTTGCCCAACATACAAGCTATCTTGTGTACGTTTGGGTGAGTCAATATTAGACACACACATGCACACATTTATAAAACCTTTGTGCATCGCAAGCATGTATACAGTTCATCTGCTCACACTAAACACTGCATGATACACACCCACAAATGACAGGTGATTCTCTGCAATATTTATCTTTACTTGAGTGAAGAGTTATCACTCTTCTCGTTCACAAAGACAAATGTAGCAATGAGCAGCCGTTGCACGTTAGAAGGTAGGAGATGGATGGAGACTAATCTAGCCTTATAAACATACTGTAAACCACAGCACTGTAAAGTAACACAGTGTCACAGAGGGTGATAAAGCACTGCATCTTTACCAACAAGCATTTCCCAGCAGCAGGACAAACCCAGTCCCCATGCTGCAGCTGTGGGCTCCAAAGCCATTTCAGCTGCTGTGCCCTGCTGGGGATGGGTAATGGCACCTTATGTCTTTCACCTCTTAAATCACCGGCTCTGAAGGGGTACAGGTCAGCCGTGGCAGAGCCATCCCTATCTGACAGCTGTGCTGAGGCGGTGCTGGCGAGGCGCTGGCCTCGTGGCCTGGGCGCACAGGTGTCCCCATCATTGGCTACCCGTGCAACTGACACTAATTGGCACCCTTGTCCCTTGTCAGCAGGCTTGGTGGAGGGGCCAAGGAGTGAGCGGGCTCAGAGGTGCACACTCTCCTCTCACCCCAGCACCAACTTCCCAGGCCAGAGCTGGAGCCTATTATCCCATGCAGCAGACACTCGCATCCTGCCTCCCAGGAAAGCCATGCTCCAACGCTTCCCACAACCATGAATGTAATTACAGCACAGGGTAATAATGGTGAAGGGAGGAAGGGAGATGCACAGAGGTTAAGCAATGTTCTCCAGTGATATCTGAGAGGAGATGATGCGTTGCCACTGTTGCCACAGAGAGAGATGGCAAGGCTGTTAAGGAGGGTCAGGGCCACAGAGGCAGGAGTTTTTATGTTAAAAGCACCCAGAGGGTGTTCCAAGGCAGATCCAGGCATCCAAGACATTTGTGTCCAAGGCTAGCATCATGGGCTGAAGAGGGCCTTGGAAGGGTTTTAAAAACAAAGAATTTGGGTTTCCCACAGGTTTGCATAACTCTCTGAATGTGTCTCTCCTGCCTCTGGTCAGAGAGGTAACAGAGATGCAGTTCCAGAATTATTTCCCCAGGCAGCTCTGGAGATCTGACCTCCATTTCTAACCCATCTCTGGTAGAAAGTCTGAGAGAAGGAGCCATAGCACCCACTTTCTCCCAAGAACAAAATGTCTCCTTGGGCCCCCGGGAGTCCCCAGCCCAGAGCAGCACCACTGTCCCTTCCCTGCTCAACTGAGCAGAGGGAGGGCAAAGCAACCCTGGTCCCAGTGGTGAGAGAGTGGCATGTCAAGCATGTTTGAAATTGAGACATTTGTTTTTCCTGTGCTTACCTCTACCACACAAGCACACAGCTGCAAGCGGAGGTATTGAGCTCTCCTTCCCAGTTTTCTCTCCTCTGCCAAGGCCAGCAGCACAGGTGCCTTGTGCACGTTCTGGGGTGTCCCACATCTGTGTGGGAAACAGGTATGCTCATACTTTCTGCAAGCTTTAGTGGCAGCCAGGGGTATGGGCAAAGTCTTCTCCAACAGAGAGGCAAGCTATCTGGGGGATAAAGGTGCATCTTTGGCACCATCCCCTTACATTTTACCTTTAAAAATTCCCCATTGAGCATGCTGAAAACCTGCATGCAATATCCAACCCTCAGCATGAGCCCAGAGTGCCTCTGTGGCCCTGGCTTTTCCCAGTTTAGGGGTACTTCAGCTGTCATTGCTTCCACCACCCTAGGCTAACTTTTCCATCCAGTGCCACCCCTAGCATGGGGGGAAAACACACCTCTGTCAGGCTTTAACACCCTTCTGTAGGTTTTTCAGCAGGTACCTGATCTCCAAGGTGGTGTGAGGATCCCTTGTCCAAGCCCATGCCCATCCTAGGCAGTGTCTGGTAGTCGCTGGCTGCATCCCAATCAGTGCTGGGTGTGGGACAGGAACAGGCCAACACAGAGCCCAGCTCAGGACCTACTCAGAGACAGAGATCAGCATCCTGCATCCTCCACAGGGAAAAGAAAGCGAAAGGATGTTGAAAAAGTATGTCAGGGTACAAAGGTTTTATTCTGCCTCTACTCTTTAGCTGGTACCTGAGAACAGAAATGCCCAGGGCTCCAGTCATAACTGTGCCCATGGGTTCCAGGGCAGTGCAGGAAGGCAGGGGCAGTCGAGCAGTGGGGCTCCTGCCCAGTGTCCTGCCCACTGTCGCTGCCCAGTGGAGCTGTGCTTGGGCACATGTAACAGTGCTCAAGTAACACTTTCTCAGGCTTCACTGCTCTCTGGAAGCCAAAAATTAGAGCTCTTTACAGAATAAAGAAGCAGCTGCACATCTTGTCACAGAGCTCAGCTCCATCCACAGGCAGGGAAAGCACTTCCCACCATGCCTTTCCATGGAGGGAGAAGAAAACCCCCTAGAAGACATTTCCTGACTGCTGTGTTCCCCCTGGAGATCAGCAAGAGTTTTCCAAGGAAGGAAGACATTGCAACTGTATTTCTAGGTCTGTTATATCTCCTTGCCATCCATCCGGCTCTACTGTTGCAGTACTTCCCATCACTGAACATACAACTGCTCTGCCCCACTCTCATGCCACAGATTTATCTCAGTGCAGAGCAGTTTGAGCTAATGCTGTTACATCATCATAAAACTGGTGTAACAGAAAATCAGCCCAAAGAGGTTCACATCCATTTACATATTCGTTCAGACTGTCCAGACATAATAACGCTGTCCAGATTCTAATGATAAAAAATGCAGTAAGCTGGCAATAAGGCATATATATTAATTATAACTGCAGTGCAAGCATTATCCAGTTTACATAAGAGTAATTAGAATCACAATTGACCTTTTGTAGAATCATAGGGCTATGCTTAATTCTAGCCACTAGCATTCAAAACATTTATTTAAATTATATTCCTAATTAATAATTATATATTTTTTGAAAATAATTTTCATGGCAAACTTAAAATTACTTGTATCTAGTATGTTTGAGGAAGAGAAAAACCCGTTCTCAACAGTTCTCAACACACTCAAATTCTCTGGAAAATGGTGTAATATGCAACAGCAGAGTAAAAAAATCTATATTTTTTCTGAAACTACATACTGTGAACAGAAAAGCAGTTATATTTACACTTTATCTAAAAATGATCAAATAACATCCAGTCACATGAGACTCCCACCTATTTACTTCTCAGTTCTTCCGTACTAACTATTGTTTCTTGTATCAGTCACAAAAATTCCATTCCTTAATGAGGAACACATATTTTATATCATATCACTGCCTTCGATGATTCCTGGCACCTTGGGCTAGAGCCTTCTCCCCAGTGCCCTACAAGGCAGCACTAGCCTCAGGGGTCAGGGAGAGGCAACAAAAGCATCAGCTGGAAGAACCTCTGCAGGAAGAAAATGGGTAATAGTCCCCTCAATTTTAGCTGCCTTTAAAGTCCATGGGTCATTTTGCAAGTCCTTCTTCATGCCAGGATGTCTGGCAATAAAATGTCACCGATTTTGAGGGGATGGTTTGGAGGGGTCCGTTGGAGAGCAGGAATGTTTCGCATGAGTGGGGACAGCTGGGGCAAGCCCACCATTTGCAAACGTGCCTGTGGTTATGCTTTCAATAGGTGGCACTTATGAATAATAATATGCATAATCTATCTTGTGCCCAGGCAGGAGAGAAAACATAAGTGGACAAGCCTGAAGGCATGGCCGTCTATTAAAGGTTGCTTGGGAATTCTCTGCAGGGTTAGGGCAAAACTGTGCTGCTAAACATGGCTGGGGGATTTGCATGTTTAAGAAAAGAGGACTAATTGAAAATCTCTCTCTTCTGGATGAGTGATTTACATTTCTTATAGATCAAATTACAGAGGGTGAAATACAGTTCTGCCCTTTTGTTGTTTATTTGATTGTAAGCTTTCATTGCTAACTTTTTTTATATTAAAGAGTTTCAACACAGACTGTCAGAAAAAGCCCAAATTCCCAAGCCATGCTATGTACCTAAGTCTAAACCCTCCAGAAATTCAGAGTCCTGCTTTGTTCTGTGGCCATTTGTAGACATCTTGAATTAAGCACCCAGGGCTCAGGATCTTAGCAATTAGTAATATAAAAATAATTAGGAAATTAAAAAAAAAAAAAAACTAAACTAAAACAAACCCACAGTTTCTCCTACCTATCATTACAAATGTAATCCAGGTCTATTCCTACCAGCAGCGAGGACAGTTTATCATATGAGAAAGACATATTTGATTTTAAAGTAGTCCAAGAAATAATGATATAAGCATCTTGGACTTTTCCCAGAGAAATATCCATCAGACTGACCCCTTATTTTTAATCTGTTTATATAATGCCCCAGCTGCTTTCTTTTAAAAGAAACTAAAAAATTATATTATTTAAAAAGAAGAAATACATGTTTGATTCTGGTGAATCAACTTCCTTTGCACTGGAAACCAGGGAGCAGCCACTGTCCAGATCTCCAGGGTACTCCTATTCCCCAGGGACCATGGGAAATTACTTCTGCTCCTAGTGATGTAATCCAGCCTAGGAAATGGCTCCCACCAGCTCAGAAACAAGCGTGGTGAGGAGCTGAGCAAGGAGGTTCATAAAACCCAGCATTTACCTGTGAGCCAGGGAAGAGGAGCAGATGAGGAGGAGCTCTTCCATGAGACATCAGCTTGCCTCAGCAGGAGAAGGTCTATAGTGGGGACATCATAAACATGATGCTCATTAGAAATGCGATGCCAAGGGTACTTACATCAGTAAGAGGGGTGGCTCAGCTGATGGCTAACTCCAGCAGGGACAGGAGCCTCAGTGAGCAACAGGGACTCAAGTCACCTCTGAGGCAGGAGACCCACACTCACCACTAATTTATCACACCTCAAACTACACAGCTGCAGAAGAGTATTGGAGTGCTGGTATTTTTAAGTGCAGATAGCTGTATGAGGAGCAGACATTATTGCCCTAGTATTAGTAAAAGGAATGGGGCAAGGAGAAGGGAGGCAACAGAATTTAACACTGCTAATCATAGATAGGGGTTTTCTAAGTCCATGTACACAAAAGGCAGAGCACAATGAAAACTGGAGTAAACAACACTCAAGTATAAAATATCAAACATTTTAACTTTGCTTTGTTTGGCCAACAGAAATACTAATATATTTGCACAGGAAGAAAACACATCTCTAGATCTTAATAAACCTATGGGAGGTTATTTGGGGGATGACTTCCCTGGGCCAGTTAAAAGTGGTTGTGCTCTGCTGAAATATATTCTATCCTGTGGCTTATCACAGCAAGTTGCCCAAAGATGCTGTGGTGGATGAGTTGGCAGCCCAGGATTTTCCCACACTCTACCTCTGGGTGTTCCAGGAAAGGAAAATTAAGTGCTGTAAAGGAGAAGGGGGAACGCAAGAGGAATCCAATATCAGGCTTTCTGCTGGCTTTGCCGCTGCTAATCGTCTCCGTACATGTGAACTGGGTGTAAAATGTTCCCATATTAGAGCTGTGGTGGTGCATAGGTGTAAATTACTACACAAGGTTCAAGGCAGCACTCAGCCATGTCCAAGCTGCCTAATTAGCAGTTGTTAGTGTGGCAGAGCTATAAAGTGCTAATATTCAAATGTTATGACTGTGATGCCTCTTGCCAAAATCCATAAAGTGTTTGGAAGCTGGCTAGTGTTACTGACTAAACTCTCTCTTCCCTCTCAAGCAGAGGCTCAAAGGCAGCCATGCTAATTAACCCCTCCTTTTAGTGCGTCCACGGTAAAAATGTAACACTGCACCGGGGCTGCTGCCACAACAGTGCCTGGCCCTGGCAGGAGAGGCTGCAGGGCTGCAAGAGCAGAGCTCTTGAATTCTGTCTGAGGCAAGGCAGCCCTCTAATTTGGGTGTTGCTGTTCTGGGTGGCAAAGATGAAAAATCAAGTTTTGTTGTGTTTTTTTTGTTTGTTTGTTTGTGGGTTTTTTGTTTGTTTTGTTTTTTGTAGGACTGTTATTTTAAAACTAAGCCCTTTGATTCACACAGTCAACCTCTAAAACAAGGCCTACAGGACTGGAGAAAAGCACTCATATAACATATAGTACTTGACATTGCCTATGGCTAAATATAGGGAACAAGATGTTCTCTATGGCCATACCAAGCTTCCTTAGTCATATACACTTTAATCTAAGCCCCGCTACGGGGAGAGATCCCTGGCCCCATTCTCCCTTCTGAGCAACAACAGCAGGGCAAGCACAATGTGCGTCCACTGAAGCATGGCCAACGCGACACCAAGGCACAGCTCTGTGCAGATCAACCCAGTCAGGCAGGAGCATGCCCTTGGTGCAGTTAATTTCAGAGTTATTTTCTATGGTTAGCATCAAAGATGTTTCCTACTGCATGCACGTATGAAATTACGGCTCACTAATTTCATAAATGGCAAAGCACATGTCTGGCCCCCTTCTCCCCAAATCCCCTGGAAAGCGATGTGTGGTACCCAGCCAGCACAGCCCATGGCACGGAGACATCCCTACTCTGGATTGATGGCTACAGCATCTCTGGGAAGAGAGGGCCATGGGCAAGGGCTGCCTGGGGATTTCGCCATGCATCCATCTTCCCCAGGGGTGGGGGAGGAACGCAACTACAGCCTCTGAATCCACAGGGTTTCAGTCCAACCTACCTACACTGATGTTGACACCAAATGTCCTGAGCTTGCAGGTACCCAGAGCTCTGCAGAAGTTCATGCCATGATCCCTGCCTTGCCACTAGAAAACTGACCTGCCAGAGGTAGCACAGCTTTCCCCAGCTGCTATAGCAGCACATGTAGGCAAAGTAGCTCCATTTCTTCAATCTGTGGCTCCTTCATCCAGCCAAATTCTCTAAAGAGAAGATCCTAATTTTGTATCATTTTTACAACACTTTTCAAATCCCCAAAGACTTATGCTTGAAATACATGTAGTGAGTTGACTGACAGACTTGGGTTTGCCAACACAGCTTGATCCAAGTCCACAGAAAAAAGAGAAGCCCCATTGAACTCACACGTGGGTAGATTGAGGCTGTGATGGGGAGAAGGGCTTTCTTGTCCAGCACAGTCCTCTGGCCATGACAACTGGGAGATCTCTGATGGCAGGTTTGGCAGATGCAAGCACAGGTAGGGCTGGATGGGGCTGGAAACATGCATAACTCTCTGAAAAAACATCCCATAAAAAAGTGATTTTTCCCAGCATCCTACAGGTAAAAAAAAAAAAAAAAAGAAATCTCTTCAAACACAGCAGAGCTTCTCAGCAAGGTAGGCGTTGGCAGAGCTGAGCTCAATCATGCCGTGCGGGAGGGAAGTCCCTGTGACTGAGAAGCGAATGGGTGTCTGCAGCACAGCATAAATTAATACAGCAGCTGCTGCTTTTGCAGAGAAATCAAACCCCAGCCATCCCCTTTCACAAACAGAAACTTCAGAGATGCACTATAGGGTATTTCATTACTAAGTATTTTGAATTTTCAACGTGAGAAATATTACCTAGTGTTAGTTACATTATTTGTTTCATAGGGAAGGAATTAGCATTCCTCGGGCTCGAAAAAGAGACACATGCCACTGAAGCAAGCAAGTATGAGTATTTCTTTGTTTTCATAGGTCCTCATGCAGGCAACTGCAGGTCTTGGAGATACACTCCAGGCCTGCGTCAAAGTATGGTACTCCTTCATTAGCACTTCAAGGGCTCTGAATCTGGGGAAGGGAAGGACTCCAGTCTCAGAGGCAGATTCTTCATCAGTGTGCACCATGTAAGTGTGAGGTTACTCCTGATTTATTCTGGCATGGCTGAAAGTAGCACCTGTTCCCTGTATTTATTTATGTCTTTCATAAAAGATTTATCAGTTTTAAAAAGAGGGACAGATTATTGTCTCATTTATACCAGCGTAACTCTGGAATAGCAAAACTGACTCTAGATAGTTGGAATGTCTTAGGGAACTTATCTGGCCCAGTGTCTTTATTTCTGGAGCTCTGCTCCACCTCTGAATTTTAAAAATGGTATGTTCATGCTCTGAGGCGAACCTCATTTTCCAGCTCAAACATTTTATGCAATATTTTAGTAGGCTGTTTCATACTGCTGTACAGTTTCCAATTTTAAGTATTATCAATAATGTATTCTTCCATGTAACCTCTTTAACACTCACAATAGAATAAAATAAAAAACACATCAACAAAAAAATTGTCTCTGCCTGGTAATGCTGTGTGAATGTTAAATTTCCCATTTCACAATGCAGCCATCACTATAAACTCCAAGGGTGGATTAACGCTCTTCTGGTACTTCACTGTATCAGAACACGGATTTGCAGACAACAGCTGCAGCAAATTCCCTTGACTGAGAAGAATTACAAGTATTATCACCTAGATCATTAAACTGGGTTCATAGATTGCAGAATGTCTTCAATCAATTCATCTAAGATAACTTGAAGCCAGCTGGACCCCCTCAGTGAGAACTTGACTTAATTGGCCAATAAGTGGCTGGAAAAGGTGCATGCGATTTGATAAAATTACAGACTGCAGAAGTGATTACAGTTTGGAGAACCACAGAGGGTAGCCTCCGGGTCAGCCCTTTTGGAGAGGGCTAAGTTAATGTCCACTATTAAGTGCTGCTGTGAAAAATGTTGGCCCACTTGGTGCTCAGATGTAAAGTGTATCCAGGTCATTCCTCAGCTGATGGAGGGAGAGATGTGCACATTTATCACCGCTCTGGCCTCATTTCTGCCTTGGTAATAGTCGTACACTAACAACTGCTGGCAGTTTCATGGTTTTCTGGGTACCCTTCATTTTATTGGCATAACTAAAATATTATCAGAGGAAAGCAATCCATCTGCTAAAGAAAAACACTTTCCTTCAATTATGTCCCCAGAGTCTTTTCTTAAGAAAGGTTAAAGGACCAGGAAGTTGAAAAATATACATTAGTTTGTTTTTATTTTTTCCAATCTGCAGCAAATATGCTTGCTTGTTACTGGGTAAGTGGTAGGTCTACATATTTACCACTGTAAAATGTTAGAGAATATGCCTAGCTTTAGGAAAAGGGTAAACTCACAATATCAGATTAGCTTTTAAGTACAAAGCATTATTTAAAAGCAATTTCCTATCTTTCTCTTCCTGCCTCCCACAAAAAAAAGGATAGAAAAGATTGCATAAGTAATTTCTCGATGATTTTATATTTCATAATGAAATAGATGAGGTCATTTGCAGAAAAGCAATATTTTTAGAGCTACAGAGTGCAAAGAAACCATCAGATTACCCGATTGTGTTAAACATCATGGAAAAACAGAGCTTGATCCTGAATGAGCTCAGCAGGCAGGGCTCCCATTGACCTTGGCGAGGGGCTACTGCGCGTGGGTGCCTCCCAGGCATTAACCCTTTTGTTAGAGTGCACCCCAAGACAGGGCTTGCAATCACTTCTGCACCGATAGAGTGTACCTGCTGTGATTCTGTGTTGCTGAGGCTGCATATTTTTCATGGATTGGATAATTTTCATGGGGTTTGTTTTGTTATGTTTAAATCCCCACCTTTTACAGAGCTAGCGCCAAGACTCAGATATCTGATGCAGATATTCAGAAGTATCTTGGTCTCATTTCAAGGATTTTTTTGCTGTTGGCTAAGTTGTTATAATAGTAAATGGTGTAACATACAGTCAAAAGCCTAGGGGTTGCATAGTTAGCTAGATGCACACAAAACACAAATTAATGAAGTAGGGAAGGACATGTTACATTTTACCATCAAAACAGGGAAAGATGGATCTCTGACACAGTGATTTTAGGCTGCAAGTATTAGGTCAGAAGAGAATTCTACTTTAAAAAAACAAAAAACCAAAAAAAGGTACAAAATGCCTTCTTTCCTAAATGCTTTCCTTTTATGTGTCAGAACTGCCAGAATCCAGTTTTATCTTACCTACAGACAGAAATTAGGTTGCCATTTGGTTACCGGATCTCCTACCATGTAACAGAGCATATGTTTCTTCCCAAATAACTGCACAAATCTCATCCCCCCCAAGCCACAAAGCACAGTCACCCAGGGCACAGAATGAGGTAGGCTCAGTGGAGAACCAGTCTGCAGTTTTTGAATGAAATATATATTCATGGGTGTCCTCTTAAGAAAGGAAGGTCAAGTTTAGTCTTTCCCTAACTGTAGGAAAAAGATACTAATTTCCAAATGTTTCTGGTGAAAACAATCTATTTTGGTCACAGGGACCTTGGCTGCAGCTTCTCATGTTCCCTGGGATCTCCTTCCCCCAAAATGAGTTTTCTCTTTCCCCTGTTGATGCATATGTTGATGCTTATTACCTTCTGCATTTGGGACACATACAAATTCCAAACCTCTACATGAAAACATGGTGCCTGTCACAGGCACAGAGATATTGTGGATGTTTCAATTCCTGGTCCTGTCACTTCAGCCAGGTGTTTCAGTTAAATGAGTAATACTCTGTTCTGATGTCTTTGATGCTAGAAAAGAGATTCAGCTTTCTTTCTGTCTTACACAAGAGAGTATAAGGGCTTTAGCTGCGCTGGCTATCCACGCTCAATCTGTGCACTAACACAGGCAAAGCATTCTCCCCACTTAGCTTCAGCGTTGTTGCCCTTCTGGGTTAAGCCTCGGTATGAAAAGCCCTCTCTAGACAAATTCCAGCATTTTAAGCACTGTCCTTACCTGGCAGAAGGATGCTGCCTGCCAAGACTTACCTTTCCATGCAGGATGGAGACCTGAGGGGCTGCTTGTCCTCTGCTCCCAGCTCTGCCAGAGTGGCCCCGCGTGGCCAGGGTCAAACTGGAACTGCGTGGCTTCAGTGCCACCGTGCACTCAGTGTGACCTTGAATGTGATGTCTTCATCCACCAGCAAGCAACCAGCCAGGCCTGCCACCTTCCATGGGAGGAAAAGGGAAACTAATTGAGTTGTACACGACTTAATCACATTAGTATCCCTAGTGCTGCCATTTCCCATGTCCCCACAAGCTCGTGCCATGTTTGCGGTTACTGGTGCTCCCATACACCCTGGGGCACTGGGTTTCAGACACGCATTGAACTGTCGCTTGCAAATTTAGAAAACTATTTTTAAAGCAAACTAAGCAAACAATGGTGCTTTCTCTGCCTGTCATAAAGATCATTAAAGGAAAAATTGCTAGCAGGGATTTCAATGGCAAACAGGCCAGGCTTGGCAGAGCAGGACCTTTGCTCCAGCTCACTGCTTTCATGCTGAACTGAAGTGGCGGCCCTCGATAGCCCATCACACCACTGGCTTCTCATCAGGAACCACCAACTAGCACATCAGCATGGGCTGATCCAGCAGTCCCCACAAAAACCATGAAAAAGGTGAAAACCTCCATAGGTAACAGCCCTCCATGTGCATCCTGCCACCCCAGAGAGAGGGGGTGAAGCCATTGCCCACTGTGACGTTTTGCTACCCGCTCTTTGACAACCTCAGTCTTCCCTCTTTGTGTGCAGACTAGAGCCCTGACAGCCTCACCGCTGCAACTCCGGCATCATGCTGCAGACATTGGAGGATTCAGCATTTTCCTGAAGCAGCTCTGGCCCCCAGATCTACTTGATCACCTCAATCCTCAGGATGGCAGTCCCACTGAACAGCAAGTCCGTGTGGTCACGAGCCAAATTCAAGAGCAAGTGCTAGAAAACAAATACAAACACCTTTCAAACTTATTTTTCTTTAACATTAAGATATTTAAGACCATCTTACATCTCTGCTCCAGACATTCAATAATTAAGGACTGCAATGCTGACTTACCCATTTCCTACAGCTATGGTATCATCCATTTCTACTCAGGCTAAGATGGGTGGTGCTACCCATCCTCCCATTTTGGATGCCTCCACAGTGCAGCGCAGAGCCCTCAGCCTGGAGGATGCAAGAAGCCAGGGCAGCAGGACTACTGCCTGCTCCCACACAAGGGGCTGCAGCAGATGGGTTTGAAGCCAGGTGGGTACCACCAAGGCAGGGAGCCCTTCCTGGCACTACAGAGGGAGGGGGACAGAGAGGAGCCCACAGCTGCCCAGATGTTGCATTCTCTCTAGGGCAGCCGGGTTGCTGGAGTTGCTCCAGTTGCCTAGCCCAACATTTTCCACTTGGCTACAGCCATCACTGTAGTGTAGGGTCCAGCAGAGAAGACCCAGTGCTGAGACCCCTGTGCTAAGCTAGAGGACAGGGAGAGGGAACAGGCAGATCCTATGGCTGAGCTACGGGCAAAGAACTACTTAATCTACTCTGCAGGTAAGGACCAGACCCACATACTTTACTCAAACAATGGAAATATCTGGAGTCACTTTGGCATGTTCCAAATACATTGCATTCCATCAGCATCCTTGGGGATCTATTAGTTTTAATTATCATTAGACAGAGGAGTAACTCAGATAACCTTTCCTTCCTTCTGTCTTTCAGCACCAAGAAGGTGGTGTAGAGAAGAGGCTATTTGTACAGGGAAGAGAAAAGTCTATTTATTGTTTACTTTAAAAAAGCCTAGTATTGACTTCCATTTATCTTCCAATAAGTCCTTGTCCAGTGCAGCTCGAAATATAATCTGTTCCGAGGGCAGGTGCTCCTTAATGAGAGCTGAACTTTCCAGGTTTTTTTACTTCATTCATTAAAAGGGAAAGAGAAGGAGAGAAAAAAAAGAAGAGAGTTAGAAAATGGCATGAAAGCATATTATCAGTAAATTGTTTCCACTGTGTTTGCGACTGTTCTTAATGTTTTATGAATATGCTAAAAAATTTGCTCAGGCATTTTTCCTTGGGCACTCTAGTTAATTACTTATTCAGAGAGCTTCTACTCTGTTCCTTGCAAAATGTGTTGTGCATTAATTCTGATTATGTACAAAAACCCACCTGCAAGGAAAAACTCTGAATCAGTAATGCTGATAAAATGAGCAGCTCTCCTGGGGCTTTACTGAGAAACAGGATACTGGACAGAATTAAAATCTTGTAGCTAAGGCTATTCATAATGTCATTAACATAAAGGCAATTAAATGAGTTTTTAACCTACAACCCTTTATTGTTATTAATGAACATTAGAAAAACACAGGAGATAAAATTGGTAATTATCTCTGCACCAAGCTATGCAATAATGTGTTTAAATATAAAAAGAAAACAAATGATTATTGTTAGTATTTTCAGTAGCAGAAGCCCCAAGGAGCAGCTCAGTCACATTTAATCACATGGTACTACACCAAGAGGGTTAATTAAACGAGGGCTTTACTTTCAGCATGCTTGGTTATTCTGTTTAATATGGAATCAACAAACAGAAACGCCAATCTGCAAAATATTCTAGGCAGTGCCTTTGCCGTCAGATGAGCCACCTTTACAAAACCTGAGAGCTTTCATTCCCACCAGGACAAGGGGCTGCAGTCCTCTAACCAAGTTCTTATTGTCATTCGCTTTCAAAACCAGTTCCAGAAACAACTATATAAATCCAGGTTCATAGCCCAGGCTTATCATTCTGTAAAAAAAGAATTAGGGGATTTGAAAGAGATGAACATTTTAGAGTAGATGGTAGATGTTGTTGCACCACTATGGTACTGCAAAAAAGCCTCCTGTTCCATATTTTTATTGTATTTTCTACTTAAGCAGTCATAAATTAGAATATATTCTAAAGGGGAAATACAGGCTATTTCACTGAGCTTTCATGTATCTAGATTTGAACTGATTAATTTGATTAAAGTTTTATGATTTAAATCTCAAAAATAGCTCTGGCATGTATTTTTTCATGTATTTACATTGGTTTGGGGGGGTTCTGAAATCTATTTTCTGGGCAGTATGTAGCTAAACAAATGACAGTTAATATATTTTATCTTCCATGTCAGTAGACAAAGCTTTCCTAAGGAATGTGTCCCTTAGCATGTCCAGACAGAGCTTGAGAGGGAGGAACTGAAGGCACTTAAAGGCAGAGCAGGATCTGGCACTGGTTTCATCGAGCAGCACGTTATTGCTGTGAGACCCCACGGCTCAGTGCCGCAGGGACCTGCCCTGTCCTGCATCCCTGTGCTCCCTGCATTCAGTGAGGTGGGGCAGTGAAGGACCCTTCCCAGTAGAAGAGGGGAAGATGCAGGAATGAAGGGGAAACAAAAGAAGAAAAACTCAAAAGGTGGTTGCCCCATGTGCCGAATGCAGTGATAACTGAGGACATCACACCAGCCAGAACTGCATACAAGGATACAAAGGAGGCCTGACTGAAATACACCTATACAGCTACTTTTTCCCTAGAATATATTATTTCTGGGACTGCTAAAGAGAAGTGAGAAAGAGTAAAGGTAAAAAATGACCAAGGTACTCCCTTGCTATTTGGGAAATTTGCCTCATGAGACAACAGAGGAAGCATTAAGAAAAGACAAATATGTAAAGGATGGACAATTAGCAGCACAGTTTACAACAGCAGATACCATCAGACAAACCAGCTGCTTCTTTTGACAGACATCCAGCAAGGAAGAAGATAACCTGACAACTCAGACTCTGAAAGAGCTTGCAAAAACTCCGATATCCAGGGAGTGCTGGCAAAGCTCAAAGCTGGATCTCACAAGAAGCAAAATCACCCACTAGGCTTAGACATTACTCAAGCCTAAGGAAAAAGCCAGATGCACTGAGAAGACAGAAGCAGAAGGAGAGATAGGGGAGGAAACATTAGAAGTATTTTGAAGTATACAAATCAGATGGGATCTATCAAGGGTTGATGGCTGGAAGGGTGCAGACCCCAGAGCTGGAGGGAAAAGGCTGCTTTATGGATCAGGCAACTACAGTGGGGAAGACAAGCCCACAGGTATTTTTCATGTTGCTGTTAAGCTGCTCCCAAGTCCTTTTTAAACACACACAGCCTTCACCACCACCTCCTGCATTGACAGCAATGTGTGGGATCACTGGCACCAACACACCATGCTGTTAAACAGCAAGTCATGGACAAACGTGGTATTATAACCAACAGCGTCTTTAGATAACTTAACAGCTCTAAATACCCGAAAGGTTTTCCCCAACAACTACAGATTTCTCTTCCTCCTGATGTAGAAGCTGATTTCCCTTGCTTGTGTAAGCCTGCTATTCACTGGTGTAATAAGAAAAGGCCCAGGCTATTCAAGTGCTGTGTAGATGCAGAAATGATGTGCATACTAACCAGCTTCTCCAAGTAAAATAAGCATAGCTGGTTTAGTTTCTTTTGAACTGGGAGATACTGTAGGAAGCCATTAAGCTAAGCGAGCTGTGGTGGAGGTGAGACGGCCTCTAGGGCTTTGTGTGTGAGCACACAGCCCTGGCAGAGATGCACGGTGGCACTGGGGAGAAGCACAGTGTCAGTTCTGTCCCCAAGACACCACATGGGCAATGCTACAAACACACAGCCATGTCCTACACAACCCATCACTTGGCAGCCTGCGAGCATACAAACAAGGACCACCATGCTGGAGCTCTTCTCTCTCTGTATAGGAAGATATTTTGGGGTGCCCTCTGTTTTTAAGTTCACATCAATTTTTTCTGTAAAAAATAGAAATACACAGCTAAGCAGACGCACACACTGTGTATTGGCTTTTAGGCATCCATTTCTAGTATTTTAATTTTAGATCACCAGTCCACAACTTACCTCTACTTACCCTTTACCTCTCTTACCCTTCACTGAGGCAGGAAGTCCAACCATCCTTCTATACCTGGATCAAGCCTCTGCTCAGTTTCATTGAAAGCTGCTTGGGACAGGGCCAGACTGTGCCTTCCTGCTCCAGCCCCATGGCACCGTGCACCACCAGGCTGGGAGGAGGCAGCTCTGGTCTGCACACCCAGATGTGGCACATGGTGGATCAGCACAACTACTGCTCTTCCCCAGTATGTTAAAAAAACAACCCAAAACACAAATGAAATTTGGTGAGAGTAAGGAAAAGATAATGCTCATTTGAAGAAAAATTTCATTACACATACCTTGGGGGAGTTTAAAGTTGCTGCAGCCACTTGTCATTTTGGACAGCTTCATCCAAGACAGTCATCCGACATAGCAGTGAAAAACGCAAAAATGCTGCAACATCCCAAGAAAGAAAGAAGTACTGAGAAGTGTCCCCAAGTTTCTGACATCAGCTACACCCAGGTCAGTACAAACATTCCTACTGTGCTCAACTGAAAACCATAAACCTGGGAATAACCTGCTCCCAGTGGGGATGAGCTCACTGGAATCATCTACCAGGGCATCTAGTCACAGTCACCAGAGCAAGGGGAGAACACGAGAAATCACTGTGTTCTAACATGGCAAATCTTATCTTCTTTATAAGCTTAGGCATGAAAGAACTACCAAGTCTATATTTTATTTATAGTATTTTAGTGGATAAGTGACATTCTTGCTACTTGTTTTTGCCACCTATCAACTGTTTACAGTGACAACAGCTTGTTGTCTGTCACTCAGAGGGCTGGCACCTGTCTGGATAATAGCATGACTCAATATTCCCGAAGTACTAGATTTCTGTAAGAGAAGAAAAATCAATAACTGTGACAAGTGCTATCCATTAGAGCCCGAGAGCAGAGAGCAAACGATTACACAGTGTCATTTGTTTAATGTAACAAGGCTGTAAATGAAAACGCTTATGATCGAGCTTTGGGGGATAAAACATCCTTTCAAAGGCAAGATGACCATAGAGCAGTTCTACTTGACTTCCCAGGGCCAAAATGGTCAATACCAGCTGAAGCTCAGGGTTCCCATCCTGCCAGTTGACAGTCCCCTTTGAGATCAATAGCTTTCTCTACATACAGATCAGGGCAACAGCAGCCATCACCACCAGCTCCCCATTCCAGGGCAGAGCCAGAAATGTCTTTTTCCACACAGCTCTGCTTTTTCTTCATCAGGCTTCCCACAGTAAAGCAACACATGCATATAAAATACATTAGATATACTGAAATATCTACTTCAATATTTATAATATGTGTTTATACTCAACAGTGCTTCTAAGGACTCAATGAATATGGACAGTAGGAGGTAATGAAATTTGGCTGGTTTCAGGAGCGCAGCCATCTTCCATTCTCCATCTCCCTTTCCCTGGTCTCTTTCATTGTTTGACTTTATGGCCTTGTGCCACTTGGGCTGATGTTTCACTTCTAAATGGCATTTCAGCTTTGGCCCCTGTCACTGCCCAGCACCCTCTCCCAGATTAGCTCTTGGGTGCCATATGGTACAAATGGCCTGCCACACACTCGCTCAGTCAGTGTTTAAAAACCTGCCAAAATGCTGCCTCTGTTGGCAGCCTGCCTGGTGGCTCCATGGGCTGTGAAGGGAGCGTGACGCTGCCTGGAAATAATTGAGATGGGGCTCTGCCAGGTCGCACGCAGCAGCCCTGGGAGCAGCGCTCCCCTTTCCCCTCCACTCCCCCACAGCACGGTCAGACATTCCTGCACACGCACCCCCTTTGCAACTGCACTGCCCCCCTGACTGCCTTGGTTATGCAGTAAAAAATGGCACTCGTGTATCTCGACTGTTTTCTGCTTCATACAGAGTATGCGCCCAGGAAAGCAGCACACGGGTCCATGGGCTGCTCCCCACACAGTGCCACAGGGAGCCATCCCTAACTCCTGTCCACAGTGGGGCACCCAGCCATGCAAGGACAGCTACTGACTGGTATGTGGAGGAAAGGCAGGGCAACAGGACCACTGGAAACTTGTAGAGGTTTCCTCACCTTGCTATAAAGTCCGTTCCTAAAGCATATGCATTCCTCCTCTCACGATGGCATGTGCACATCCTTAATCCTTTGCAGGAGGGTTGATCAGTTCAAGAGCATCACCCCCAGAGACTCAGTCTGGAGAAACTGAAGAGAAGTGAGTCTTGAAGAAAGTCAGTCAGTAGAAGTTTGGCCTTTCATCTCAGAGGAGACGAAAACTACATGAAAAAAAATAAGTTACAGCAGAAGACCTCTTCCAGTGTCTCTCAGACTGCACAGACACTTTTCCCCTCTTCTCCCACTGTACTGCAGCCTGACAAAGCCTCTGGCTTTCCCTCATCCCACAGGAGTTTCAACTCCACTTTCTCCTCTACCAATCTGAAGATTTTTGCCTTTTTTTTTTTTTTTTTTCCTCCAGGAAAGTACATTCTCCATCTTCTTGTTATACTAGAAGCAGATTCACTCAAATGTCTGGATCATCTAATATCAAACATCACCTTTTGGTTTTGATCCCTTTTAGAACTGTATTGGATTTTGTTTCCAGGTTTTGGCTGAGAGCTTTCCCCTAGCAGCCCACCCTCTCTCCCAGGTCCCGCTCTAGTGCTGTGAACTGGTTTTCATCCAATGCTGTTTCACAAGAAATGCAGAATAAGGCCCTGGTCTGCCTAAGCACCCACTCCAGTGGAGATGACCTACCAACCTCCCCAGTGCCAGGAGCCACGTGGTAGCTGTAGCACAGAGGGACAGCATGCCAGAGTGGCAAGGTTCACAAGAAGAGCACTTGGAGCACACTGGGGCCACCAAAGCCCTGGACCCACCAGCTTCCTCAGTGGTGGAGATTGTGGACATACTCATGACACATGGAAAAGGTCCTGACATGGAAAACCCGACATAGGTGAGAAGTGATATTGTCTAAACCACTCACCTAAAATTCCAGTCATCCATTTCCTTGGGGCCTCCTGTGTAGCGACGTGCCTCAAGCATCTACAAACTATTGATAAAAAAGAGTCAAGAATCCAGCTTCACTTACAGCTGAAGAGGTGGGGGAAACTTGCAGCTTCTCTGTCACTTGCTATTGGGCAAATAGGTCAGCAGTTTCTAAAATAATGCTGCTCCTTAAAAGACATCGTTTTGTGTATTTGTAACTTGTCAACTCCAGATAACCTCCAGTAGAGAATCAAACTTGCAGGAGCCTTCATTCTTCCTAGATTAGACTTCAAAGCTGTAATGTTACCTATACGTATTTGTGTGTTATTTAGCTCTTGTTAGACTAAGCTTTGCCCTTCAGTCACAGTAGGGAGTGGGTAGAAGAAAGGTAGTATTAGAATAATAAAAAAAACCCAAACCCATAAAAGAAAATGCAGGATGAAAACCCCTTTGACAGAAACTGGTGGTTACATTGGAAGTTCCTGTGCAGCAGTGCCACGGTTCTGATGTATTCTGGTGAAATATTTGTACGATGTGCCTACACAAAACTTCAGATGAAACAGTCTCTTTATAAGCTTTTGATAGCTAGGATGGAAGTGGCTTTGCCATTACCTCTGTGAAATGAAAGCAATACTGAATCTTGGTGTTCCTGGATGGAGCTGCTGATCATCACAGTGACAGCCAAACTAGCTTTGCTTGTTTGTTGTTTACCTTATGCTAAGGGGAAGGAACTTCTTTGTTGTCATTGTATCGTGTGATGTGGTAAAACACAATCCATGCCCAATGTGCAAAGGAATTTCAAGCCAAGAATATTTATTATCCATGCATATACAGTATGTATTGCTGTTTTGCTGTCAGTGCTGCTTGCGGTGCTTTAGTGAAAATAAAAGGGCATTTTTATCTTGAGTGCCACAATGTGCTGTGACAACAGCAGTATTGCAAGGGCTGTAATATGGTTTGGTAACGTACCAGACACACAGGAATGAGAAGGAAGGTTCTACCATAGCTACCTGGAAAGACTCACAGTACATGAAAGGAAGGCCTACAAGTGACATTTGTAACCACCTGCTGTAAGGGCAGTGCTCTGATGCCCAAACGCTGCCTGATGTTGGCAGCGAGGAGCTGCTGCTCCTGGGAAGCCTTGCTGTCAGCACAGGTGGCTGGGGGGCACTTGAGGTGAAATCTGGCTAGCACATGAAACTAACTAAGATATGTTGGTTGATCAAAAACAGTGAGGGCCTGACAAGTCATCTGATCCAGAAGCCTGGTATTTTACTGAAAAACTTTTTAATTGAATACAGGATCCTAAGTGAACAGCACAGCCTGAAATAGTCTGAGCAGATTAAAATCTTTCAGAAGCAATCAGCTCTACCATTAACACTAGCAGGTTCCTAGGAGGTTCCTATATAGTGCAGCACAAGATCCTCCGTTTTCCCAAAATAAGCCAAGAAATAAACAACACCCAACTGCTGGACCAAGTAGCTATAAGTATCACACAGGTTCACTGCTGTTTTCTGGGCGTTAACATTATGACTTCTCTACCAAATAGTTATCCCTCTCATAAAGCTCAAAACACATGAAATTCCCCAACAAACTCAGTTGTTCTAAAACTGGTTCAATGTCCACAGTCAGAACTTGCAAAGAAAGAATACATGTCATCATTCTTTAGCCCCTGATCTTGAACCTGAGGAAGGTGTGAGCACAACTGCCCTTGGGAATAAGTTTCAGGCAAGGCTGGGGAAAGCATTTTTGTGTTACTATTCCATAACTTTACCGTCATTGAACTGTCTGTGTGAAAGCACCTCCCCTGCGCGTGCTGGAGGTGCAGTGCTGGCATAGGAGGAGGTCTCCTGCAATCGCAGAACTCCAAGCCCCAGGGACACTTAGAAGGGAAACATGGCAGAAGTACCGGGGGCAGCTGCAGGTTTTGAAACTCTGGGAATCACTGCCAAGTTTGTGGCTTCCCCCACCTCCCAGCATTAACATGTTCATCTCTGTACTGGGGCCAGGAGCTGTCATGTGTAAGTGCCTCCAAAGGAGCCACTGTCCGCCTTTCATTCCCAAGCCTGCTGTCCTGCAGCTCCTCCTTGTGAGAGACAGGTATGCCCACCTTTAAGCTCCCACTCAGTGACCCGACTTCATTACTTCTTCAGAAGTTGTAAAACACCCTCTCACAGATCCCTTTGCTAGCAGGCTTGAAGAGAAGTTGGTTAGGAGCTTTCTTCTCCCACAGAGCAGATGTCAGAGCTTCAGACACCTAAAAGGAGAGAAGAAAAGGGATTTACATTTAAGTCACCTCAGATATTACTAGTTTATTGATTCCTAAAGACATTAAGGAATTGGAATTACTGGATTCAAGCAGAAGACGACACTCTGAAGCAAACTGAGAGCTGCTTTCTGTGTTACAGCCGACGCAGGAACTGCCATCAGTTTTGCACTTTCCTCGCTTGTGCTATCTCAAGAAGAAAAGCACTATTTTCCCTCGTCTGCATGTCCATCTCCGTTAATTGGTGACAGGCACAACCAGTCTCCCAGGGAGCCCCTCTGAGATAGGGGACACAGTGGTGCTCCACAATGCTGTTATTCTGGGAGTCAGTCTTGTCGGGAAGTATAAACCTGTATCTATAAAACCTGCTACTGGTAAAGTAGATTTTTCCTGCCTGGTTTTGTTCTGGCTACAGGGTGCTACAGAACCATAGCATTTTGTATTGGAACTATATAAGGCTGCTTCTTCCTTCTCACCAGATATATTCCACAGAGTTCTTCTTTGCACTCAAAAACTGTGCATGTTACAGACAAACAACAAGAATATCTGGATGGGCTTTGATGAGGCTGTGAAACTAGAAAACACCATTGTAACAGCTGAGATCCCTGCACTGAAAGGACACACTGTTAACTGAAGTAAATACATTGCTATGAATCTCTGACTTAATTGACAGAACATTTTATAGCGTGAACTTCAAAATCTCACTAAGAATGAATCAGGATTCGGCTATGTGCCTGTAACATTTTCTATGCCAACATATAGTCAGGCCTAGTTGCAGTTGATATAATTTCTGAATCAAGCAGCTGAGAGATTCCAAAGTAATTTAATGCAATCAATTATAATGCTTCATGCCAATATGTAAAACTGAATTGGATTAAAAGAAATACCATCACCAAATTGTGGCCTGACAGACAAATCCCAGCATTTTCAGCAGCTCTTAGTTCATAGCCATCCCTGACATGCCTAAGCTAAAGGAATAAAGGCATTTTCCTGCTAACATTGAGGTATGAGGTGCCTGAGAGGCTGGTTGAGCTGCACGGGGTGTTCTCTCTGTGATTGAAGGGCTCTGTCAGTAACTCCCCCACGAGGACACTACATTTGGCACTTGACTACATTACCACATCATACTTGTTCTTATTATGGAAGTATGACTTAATTCTCAGCAGCTTCAGAGATAATATTACAAAATGAAGCATAATTAAAAGATTCTCCAGACATTTAATACCTGTCTGTTCCTGCTGAGTGTGTGGCCACACAATGCTGACATGGCAGCACCCATAAATCCCCCGGCTGAGGACATGACCCACCTCACACACATAGGGTACAGCCTCTGCTGACTGTGCCCCTAACTCCCAACTCAGCTCCTTGCTCTGGAGAAGACAGGCTAGGCTGTCGAGATGCCCAGCCATGGCAGCCTACTGGGGAGCAGGCTTCAACCTCAGACCAGCCTGTTCTCTTCAGGAAAGGGTTGTCTTCTGAGCCAAAAGAAATTTGGAAAGCTGCACTTTGGAGAGATTACATTTACAAAAGTCAATTAATCAGGAACACCTACAACAGGTACTTTCAACTGAAAGTTAGCTACTAATAGTTGCAACAATATCACTGATGAGGGTCTGGCAAATTTTCTGTAAGAAATTTAGGAGGTAAAAATTTTTATCATATATATTTGTCTACCTCTTTTACTGAAAGAGCTGTCTAAACAAATTACTGAATTGTTTGAAAGAAACCCAAACTGTCCACCAGTATCTCAAGACCCTCTGGTTAGCTAATTTATTACAGTTGGACAGCTGACTTTTGGATGCTCAGAGACCTGTGAGCTGGTACAGTCTCCCGTTCATAGCACCCCAAGAAAGCAAGGCAGAGGGCAACAGCAGGAGCACCCCAGACATCCCTGCTTTTCCCCTGCCAGGCTGGGGCTTCACAGGACATGAAGCAGCCCTGGCTGCACCTCACAGTGACCCCCAAAAGCCAAGAGCACAAAAATATCCATTCACATTGCCAGGTTTATTCATTCACTGTTTCCTTCTGAGTTATAGGGATGCCTGGGAGCTGAGGCAATCCTGTAATATCTGCTAAGCCCACAAGTACACAAATTAAAATATCTGACAGACTGCTAATGAGCTGATGTTGGAATGACTGGATAGTCTGTTATCATTTGGCCGTTCACAGTTTCCTCAGCAGCCCATCTGTGAGCCAGGCGCAGCTACAGCCTTCCTCCATTTACACCTTTTGCCATTATTGGCTTTTGGGAAAGGCCTTTAGCAATTAAAGTTTGTATCAAACATATTGCCATCTTTCCCACCCTGTTACCCTCTGTGCTGCTACAAAAGGTCTGCTTAACAGAAGGCTGGAGCAGGAGCTATTTTGTACACACTTCAGTACCTGAGCCCCATGTTTGTGCTCCAGCCTGGCAACTTAGCTCATGTATCACATCAGATGCTCAACGCTGCCCTGGCAGCTCACAGCTCAGCTTTCTTCCTGAGCAAAACCCACTAAACTAAATCCTATCACATTTGGGTCACTTTTTGATAGACTTCTTAGTACTAGCCAAAGTTTACACATGCTTACACACTTCTTTTGAGGTCAAGAAAGAAAAAAACCCACAAGATAATCGATTCGGGCTATTGGAAAGGAATTGTTCTGCCTGCAGGCAGTGCAGGTCCCGAAGGACCACGGTTGCCAGAGGGACAAATGCAGAGGACAAGCACTGGATTCTCCTACTTACTCTGCTGAAGACCCCACAGAGAGTTGCTGGCAGTGGATGGAGCCGGCTGGCACACTGGGAAATCCCCAGGGCAGAACTTCTGAAGATGCACCTGTGCCATTGCAACAGGCCTCATGCATATACATCAGCTGAGAGGTAAAACCCTCTGTAAGTGAGTAGGTGGGTTCAGTGCCTTCAACCAGATACATCTTAAAAATTCCCAGTGCCTATGAAGATCTGACTGACTGTGTTTCCTGCAGACACTGCAGACCTCAGGGTTGCAATTCTGCCCACCTAAATAAGGTGAAAACAGGAAAGTAAATAGATTAGGAGGATATTGGGTGTGTGCATGGTACATGGCAGTACTGTATGAGGCAACTTGTTCAGCTTTTTTGACTAATGACTTTTCTGACACAGGAAATCTGAAACACAACTGAGAACACCAGTACAAGGAAGGAGAGAACAAACTGGGCAAACAAAGCAGAAAAACAAGAGATCAAGCCTCAGTGAACAAATTCCCTTTTTTCCTTCAACTTGGTAAACTCAGTCATAGTGGTAAAGGGTATTTCCAGGCAGGTTGAACTTGCACGAGAGGCAGAGAAGCACAGGAATCCCTGACCTTGTTTGGCAGTATTACAAAGGGTCGTATTTTCAGATAGATGATCTGATCTCAAAATATCCTCCAGTGTAATGAGTACAAATGAGCTTTTCATCTGTCTGTCTCAACCATGCATCTATCTGCTTTCTCTGTTTTTTAAAGCAGGGAACAGAAAGCAGAAAGAAGCTGAGCAGTGCACCATTTCTGCACCAGTGGGTCACCAGTGTTGCTGGACCAAAACCACACAAACCAAAGCATTCTGCTCAGCCAGAGAACTCATCAAGCACCACTGTCAGCTCTTCTGGGCTGCATCAACTGTCTGCCTGGTCTGGTGAGGGTCAGGCACAGCCCTGATCAGAAAGAAGGGTCTGTAATGTTGCTCTGACCTGGGAATGGGCAGGTTGTGGCCAGCAAAGCTCAGTGGAGGAGACAATAGCGTAAATTCTCTGACATCGCAAAGGGCTCCTTACAGATCCAAAGCAGGATTCATTGCTCTGGCATCTCCTCTAGCTTACCCAATAGCCTGATTACCACACAGCATGCCTGTGGCAGTGCTAGAGCTGCCAGCACAGTGTTGCTGCACGTAGCACGGCGGGTGGCCGGTGGCACTGCTGGTGGCCAGCACTGTCCTGCCAGCAGCCAGGCTCTGCTGGGCAGCATCCGTGCTGCTGACGAGGCAAAAGCAGCCGGTCACTGGGCTGGCCAAAGGGACAGGCTGAGACCCCCAGGAGGAGTGGGCAGTTTTCACCCACCAGACACACGGACCTCTGCTGGGGTATGGCAGTGCCACCCTGGGGTGCACAGGATCTGCTCCACACCTTGACATCCCCAAACCAAGACATCTCACGAGCCATTGAGAGCTGTTGCCTTCAGTATAGCAAGAGAAGTGGATTGGCAAGCAGCTGGTGCAGGCAGACCACTGATTCACAGTATCTCCTGGAAACTTGTTTTGTGTCCTCAGCACTCAACAGGGAATCTTAAACAAGCACAAAACATTCATCCCTTATAAGAACACACTGCAATATTCACCTTCCTTGTGATAAACAGATTATAGGGTTTTTTCCCTGTCTTCTTTTCTCCTCACATTATCATTTAACTAGTTCTCAAATCACAAATTATCAAGACTCCATTTGAATGCTGCAGTTTTCATGTTGTGAATCTTGGGTTAAACAATTCTTTCTCAAATAAATACTCCTTTTTCAGTTTCCACTGATGCTTTTGTTGTTCACAGTAATCAAGTTCCCAGTTGGCTAACCTCTCACCTAACACAATGTCTTCATCTTTCATTTGAACAAAATCTATCATCCATAAGCAAAGACAGAAAATGTGTGAATGTCTAAAGCTTATGTAAATTAAGAGGCTCTGCACACCGGTCCTAAAAATAGTAGATAATAACAAGCATTTCTTCAGCATACTATAATTATGGGCCTGCTGTCATGTCTACCATTGTCTATAAGGTCACAGTTGTATTATACAAAATTTACAGTATATTATCAGTTAAAAACACAATAATTAGCAAGCCCGCAAGTTCCATCTTCGGCACCAGTGATGAATGTTCACAGAAAGGAGAAAAAAAAAAAAAAAGGCATGTTGCTTGCTTTATGTGGACAATACACACTTAAATTTAATCATCAATGTCTGCTATCCAGCAGGCAATATTCTTTTGCTATTATAACACTATTTGCCAAG